GGGGGGGGGGGGGGGGGGGGGGCAAAAAGAATATGGCATATTATCTGAGATCACAGGATTTGCTACATATAAGACTACAGTAGTGAATAGTATAAATCTCAAAGATCATTAATGAAGATATGACATCTTGAGATCAACTCAATATTTCTCAAGATTGATATTTTTCTAACAATAAGTTGAATTAAAACTTAAACTCAAAAATGCGCAAATATTCGTGAACCTATTTAAACTTTGTTATTTTAGTCTCAGCTGAAGGACGAAGATTCCCCTGAAATGTTGGAATCTAAACTAGCCGAGGCTAAAACATATTCTCGTAAACCGGTTTTGAAACAACAAACATTAACACCAACCGGTGCATTACAAACTGAAGCCAAGAACGAAGACGAATCTCAACCAAAGACTGAAAACGGTGAAAATGGCGAAGTGGCCGCGGAAGAAAAGGTAGATCGTTAATGCTTAAATTTAAGTTCAAGCGACTCTCAATGAAAAAGTTGCATGTCCGATTAACGACGGTAATTTTATAAGCTTTGGCAGATCAAGAATAAACAGGATATCCATTTATTCTTAAATAATTGGTCGATTCCATTTGTGGTTTCTATCAAAGGAACTTGCGGACTGTACTGTACAGAATTCTGATACATGGATGAAATTTTAATTTTTAAAAAAAACCGTGTGCCATTATTAACTTGAACGCCAGATAATTTTTGAACTTTTTAGTGGTCAAGCTTTTACAATTTCAAATTTCAAATTATCCTGCAAGTTATTTCTCTTTTATTAGCCTTTTTAAATGTAAAAAGTTACAATTTTAAGTTCTGTCTGATAAAATTTAGGTTTTTCTCAACTTTCTTTTCATGATATTTTCTGTTATCAGATTCCCTTGAGCCCTCCCTGGGGTCGATGTGAAGGTTCTGAGGACACCTGTCAGGTTCACTCAACAATTCTTCCTAAAACACATTGGTCTTTCTATAGTTCTATTCCTGAACTTGATCAACTCATAGGTAATGCTAGCTATAGTGCCCGGTGTTACCCGTGGAATTTTTTAAATTTTGATATTTGAAGAAAAGGAAAATTTTTAGGAGAAAAGAAAGAGATTTTTAAGGTGAAAAAATATAATTTTGAAGAAAAAATTTTTATTTCTTTAGATTATGTTTCCCGCGGGGTACCCGAGGGTCCCTAAAGTTAAAACAGCCCATTCAGTCTAGCCGTTAGGCCAGCTTTAGCTGGCAAAGTATATATGAGCAAAGAGCTTTATTATATAAATATTTTGCACCACCATCGCAATCTATTGGAATAAAATGGTTCACGAAAATCAGTAGTTAGGATTCGGATCCGTAAAAATATGTGGATCCTCGGATCCGGATCCAAGGGGCAAAATATCAACCAAAACTCTGTTGCTTTCGAACTCAAATCTGAACTGTTGAAGAAAAAGTTAATCCAAATGTCCTTATCTCTGAATGGTTCATCAAGTTTTAGCACTAAAAGAAAAGAAAAATTTAAAAGTTCTTCACTTAAAAGAAATTTGCATGACCTGGATCCGGATCCATTTTTTTCCAGTGCGGATCAAAATAAGGCACTGAGTCGGATATACCTAGGTTATAATCCCAATTTTTCTTTTAAGCACAAGTCTCATGAGTAAAAATTGTTTGTAACTGATATATCCCTGGAATGATTTCATGGTTCAGTGACATTTAAATAAATTGTGTTTTTAAGATTCTGGATTAGGTCGTATCTTATTATAATTTTAACTTTCATTAAATAACTTTTGACTAGTGGCTAGTCCACAAAATATTTTGTTGTCTTATATTTTAAGTCATTTGTTCCTATTTTTTAGTATACCCTTTTTGGAAATTTCGTCATCTTGATTTTGAATATTTCTAGACTCCCTGAATCCCCGCGGAATACGTGAAGGAGAACTCCGGGATAGATTAATAGCTGAGAGAGAGAACATGGAGAAGAGATTAAAGAAGTGTCCCAACCCGACCAGTTCTCTCTGGTTGAGTAAGACCGAGGAGGATATAGAGAAGGAGGAGGAGAAGATGCACGAGTCCTTGAAGAAGAAACGTGAGAAGAACTCTAGGTGGGGCGGAGCTATGGCTCTCCCTGTAGGTACCAAGATGCAGGATATTATGGAGATATCTTTGCGAGATCAGATTCTAGAACTTGAGGAGAAAATATTCATGGGTTCATTGGGTGCACTAAAGGTATTAATTTTGTCAAATAATTAAGATTTTCTAATAAAAAGTTCAAAAAAATTGTCTTAAGTATATCATAATAAACCTTAAGTTATAAAGAAGGCCCGTGTTGAAAATCCAAATTACTGAATTCTGACTTGGCTTTGGCTTTGGTTTTGGCTTCGACTTTGGCTTTGACTTTGACTTTGACTTTGACTTTGACTTTGACTTTGACTTTGACTTTGACTTTGACTTTGACTTTGACTTTGACTTTGACTTTGACTTTGACTTTGACTTTGACTTTGACTTTGACTTTGACTTTGACTTTGACTTTGACTTTGACTTTGACTTTAGCAATGCACGAGTCCCTGAAGAAGAAGCGTGAAAACTTTACTTAAACTTTGATGTAAATTATAATTTGAATTTTGATTTTGATTGATTGATTTGATCTTAGGTGTCTGACCGTGAGGTTTGGCAGACCACACTCCAGACCCGTGGTTACTCCATGTGCTGTGATGAGCTGGAGTGGGGAGGAGAGGGAGGGAAGAAGATGACTCCTGACCAGCTTGAAGCAGAGAGTAGGGCGGGTACACCAGACAGTAACAAGCGGAGTAGTACAGGATCCAACTCGGGAAACAATTTGGTGGTACGACAGCTTGCTGCCGCAATACTACAGGTATACAGGATTTTAAATACCTTTCATTTTCCGCTAAAATTTTTATTTCAAAATTTTAAATGCAAGGGTGAAAAGTAAATTTTAAAGAACTGTCGGAAGAGATGAATTTTCCACCATGTTTGCAACAGCAGGAACTGAATCTTATTTTCATGAGTTTTAACCCAGTTTCTATAAATTGCAATGGATGAGTGCGAAGAGAGTGTCCTATATCATACCGGATTTCTATCAAGATTTAACTCAAATGCACAAACAAAACCAATAAACAATGTATTTTGTGCATGCAAATTTTTATATTAGTTTTATGCAATTTTTTTAAGTTACTTCTATCTGAAAATCCAAATTTAGAGCAGTCCCCGATATAATGATGTACGGCGCCATATTAAAACAATTTCATGCCAAATCCTCAAAAATCGCTTGTTTCCCCTCAATGCTTTAACGTTGTAAAGTGTTTTTATCTTAAATTTTATTTCACAGTTTTTATGGTTTAATTTTTTGGTGGAAATAATGTCAGTATATGTTGGGAAAATTTAACACCATTGATGATTCTTAAAATTGTATAGCACTGATTCAAGTTTGCTTTGTTTCGATAAGTAAAATTAAATCAGCTTAGTTTAATAGATTTTACTTTCCAGGTCGGACAGATGATTAACGATGAGGAGAAGTTCCTAAAATCTCCGCTAGGTGAGGAGGAGAAGGAGAGGAAGAAAAGAATGCGGGAAGAGGAGAAGAAAAAGAAGGAAAAAGAAGCCGAGGAGGAAGAAGGTATCATCTGTGAGCAGAAGGAATCAATCCTCACCCCGTTCCAGAGATGGGAGATCAGTCTCATGAAGTGCATCAACATTGGACAGTTGTTCCTCCATCTAACAACCTTCGAGAACTCTGTTGTCTGGTCTAAGTCGATCATGAACACAAAGTGTCGTATCTGCAGGAGGAAGACAGATCCAGACAAGATGTTGCTCTGTGACGGGTGTGACCGAGGACACCATCTCTACTGTCTCAAACCTAAACTCAAAAATGTTCCCTCCGGAGATTGGTTTTGCAGTGATTGTAAACCCAAGGAAAGGATTCGGAGTCCTAAGAAGAAGGTTCGCCGAGTGTTCAGCTCTACAGAGTCTGACGATGAGGACAACACTATGGATGCGGAGGAGGAGGCTGCCGATAAAACCCTCGGTTCTGGGATGGAAGATGATGAGGATGATGAGGATTACAAGAACTACAGAGATATCAAGAAGAAGAAACCTAAAGCAAAGAAAAAGGCTGCTCCCGAACCTGAACCTGAACTTAAAAAGAAGAAGAAAGGTGGGATTGCAAACCTGTTTGGGAAGAGAAAACCTGCGGCTGAAGTTGAACCAGAAAGTGAAGTTGAGGAGGAAGATGAGGAAGAAGAAGAGATTGTTGAAACCAAATCCAAACGCGGAAAGAAGAATAAACCTGAACCTGAGAGTGAAGAAGAAGAGGAGGAGGAAGAAGTATCCAAACCTAAGCGTGGAAAGAGAAACAAGGAAGAGGAGAACAAGGAGAATGCGCGTAGTAAGAGAAGACGAGAACATGATGATTCTATAGAACTACAGTTCAATGTCGCTGGAGTAGAGAAACTTATAAAAGGTATAAATTATTTTATCTTGAAATGTCCAGATTATACAGTCGGAGTTCAATTAGTGTAATATTGGGGTGACATTATCCTTATAATTTATATTCAGTGCTTAGGATCCATTTAAATTTTATGCAGATCCGGATCCAAATCCGGCCATTTCTTTAAGATTTACTGAATTTTATTAAAAAATAATTTTCAATTTTTTTGTTTTATTTTTTTTCGCTTATTTTTATCCTAAAACTTGCTGAACCATTCAGAAGTGAGGAAAGTTTTATAATCTCTCTTTTTTTCAAAAGTTCAGATTTGGGGTTTAGGAGTAAAAAAGTTTTTTGTAGTTTTTGGTTGATATTTTACCCCTTGGATCCGGATCCTAAGCAATGTTTATATTATTATATTTATTATTTACTTCAATTATTACAGTACAATTAGCGTATTATTTGGGGTGAACTTCGTGGAATAAACCATGTCATCGCAGTTTCTAGAGGCGCCAGTCATAGAGTGGCATATTTGTTTTACCAAGGTGCACTTCTAAGATTTGTCTGTTCAAGAAAAAATTATATCCATGGTTATCTCTTTAAAAAATTATTATTAATCAGTTGTGGTTGGTGTTTTTACTTAATGATATTTAGGTTTGATGAATCACAAGGATGGCTGGCCGTTTGACCGTCCCATTACTAAAGTGGATGCTCCGGATTATCATAAACTTATCAAGAAACCAATGGATTTAGGAACGATTAGGTAATTTCTATCATGGAGAAATTACCATTTAAGAGCTAAAACTAACAAACAAATAACTTGTTTAAAAAAATTAAAAAATTTGCACCTGTTTCCCATTCAAGGATACGGTCAATAAGAATATTTTCAATCGGAGGTCACTAATCTTGGACAGGTTGTTGTACTTTGGCTGTAGGTTGACTCTTAATAATAATAATAATAATCTCAATTTTGAAATGTGAAAATGTTACTTTACCCCTTATTCAAGGTTTATGTAGGGCAAAATCTACCATTAAAAAAATCATGTTTGAATATTAAGAATTTTTGTATCTTGTCGAAATTTTTGTAATTGTCTAATTGTCTTACATCTTTTTGAAATACATGTTCAATAATTTTTTTAAACTACTAAAACAGAATGGGTAAACATGAGATAAAAACGAAGTATTGTTACCGACACATAGAAACTTAACTCTGCATATTTAGATCCCGGTTGAATGGTTTGAAGTATGCCTGTAACCAGGAGGTGTTGGATGATATCAGACTGGTTTTCAGTAATTGCTATCAGGTACTACAAATTTGCATTTTTAAACAAACCGAAATATGGGTTCAGACTGAAACCCTACGTTTTAGCTGGGACTTGATCCTCCCTTCTGAATGTCGGAGCACAAAACAATCCATACATGATGCGATACGTTAATAAACAGAAGTTGTTAAATCGTTATCGTCTTCATTTATTCTTTTAATTTTAGAATAACATAATAACATAGAAATATCTAATTTGATTTGATATACATTTTGTTACAAGAGTTAAATTCTTATTATTTTTTAACTTTGATTTTCTAACCCTAAATCTTTGCAATCTAATGTTCTAAACCTTAGATATGTCAAATAATGATTATTTGGTCATAGTTTGACATATCTAAGGTCTACAATATTGTGTTGCAAAGATATAGGGATTAGGAAATCAGAGTTTGTGGCAACGATTCAATGCCTTTGACGCGACTAAAAAATAATGTGCGATTTTTCATAATTCAAGACCATCAATTGCTTTGAATACTTCTGAAATATAATAAATATAGGGTTTCACCATCTCCCGCCCCCTCCCCCACACCAAAAAAAACTAGCTTTTAGCTACTTGAGCCATCGTGAGTCATGATAAGTTGATTTTTACATAAATTAGAGGTTTGTAGCACAAAAATGAATTTTCCAAAAATGTCCCCAAAAAAATGTATAAATCGAACTATCTTAAGAGTTCTAGTACCTAAAAGATCGTTTTGTGTTTTTTTAAATATTTCAGGGGACATTAGTTCCAAAACGAACACGTGGCCCGTTTCTAACACTGAGTGTTAGAAATGGGCTCAAATTGAAAGACTGGGTTTTAGGAATCCCGGCCCATATCCAGAGTAAAAGTCAATAATAAAACTATAACCGACATTTATGAAACATGACAGAGACAACAATTCCCAATTTTAAACTTTTTAAAATCATAATTATTATTGGAGTTCTTTTTATATGAAATCATTTGACCGTTTTCAAGACAATGTCAGGTTTTCCATTTTCGAACATATCAGCTGAATTTGAAACATTTTCGCGTTTTCGTAACAAATCCCACTTTCCCGTTTTTGAGTATAATCCTCAATTCAAAACAAAACTCACTTTCATAACTTTCAAAATAAATCACTTCTAAATTATTGATAGAATCCAAGTTTTCACATTTTATCTCTTAAATTAGAGAATATCGATGATTTATTTTCAAGCATTTTCAACAAACAGTTTTCTGTCTTTCTAGTTAAATCTATATTGTAAGACCAAATGATATGAATAATTTGATTTCTCAACACTAATGATTGTTAAATTATAAAAGAGCAATATGTTTTTATTTTCCATTTTGTTAATATTTTTTACCTTATCAAACAAATTTTGTTTTGTTACGCAAGTGATGTTTAAAAATTGACATTGATATGAATTCCGGTAATTATCTCAAAAACAGGATATGTTCCGAAAACGCGACATGAGCTGAAATCCGGAATTGTTTCAAAATAGGGATATATTCGTAAATGAAATCAACAATCATCAAAAACTAATTTTTATTTTAAAATTGACATTTATTTTTTCAATATATAAAGCCATTTTTAATATAAGATAATGTAATTTTGTTCTACTCGTCTTGGATTTAAAGATATATACGCTCATTTCTAACACTCAATGTTAGAAATGGACCAAGTTTTAGTTTTGGAACTAATATCCTCAGAGTTGGGAACTTTTGAATGGTGTTCTCCTCTTGTTATTAATTCTCCATACTAATAAACCGATCGGGATTAAAGATATCCCATTCTAAAGTTTTCAGCTCTGTTATTTTAAAATATTTTTTTACTTTAATGTTTATTAATTTCTATTGTTACAGTACAACATGGAAGACACAGAGGAGTACCAGTGTGCTACAAGATTAGAAAAATATTTTGAAAAAGAAATCGGTAAAATGGGGTTATCAGAGCAGTCGTCAAAACCGAAACGAAACCGAAGAACTTTGTAAAAAAAAAAAAACGATTGAAAAGAGTAATCCATCTGTAAACGAAGTGAGGAAACGAATTGGAAGCCGAAACCTTTTTAACCTGTTAAATGAATTCTCTCCCTCTCGACAGAGTACAAGATGTAAAAATATTTTCTACCACTCATATTTGGTCTTAATCATAATACAATCATGTTACGTATTCAAAGCAAAGAAAATTGTGATAACTACTAAAACTTATATTTTAAAGATGTATTATCGGAAAATTAATGCATGAAGGATGAATGAAGAAAATCATGTCAAATAATAATCAACTGTTTAGTTTTAGAGAAACTGTTTTTTATTGTAAACCTAATTATGTTCACCTAGCTGATGGATTAAATATTTTGCTTGAATCTTCTTATTTGTCTTATTATTTATAACAGTCGATTTAGAAGATGATGAAAATTCCATCGTAACTTATCAATGTCTTCTGGAGGACAATAGCTAAAAACATAAGAATTGTGAATATCGATATCAATGCATCTTCTTTTATTAATCTCAAGATAAATTTAATCTGAAGTTTGTATCCCAGAAAGTGTAAAAAAAAAAATTAATTGATCAGATTTGGTGAACCGAACAGCCCATCAGATTGTCGAGAAATTTTAAAATTTTGCGCGCGCAATCAAAAAGAGAACTCTCATTGATCGCAATCCAGTAGGGATATTCAGAACAGAGGATTAATAATAAGAATTAAAAGTTTCCACAGTGGATATTTAGATTAAGCTATTGGGACTAAGGGGATCCAATTCTATAGTTTTCAACTTGATCTTAGATCTGGAAGAATTTTTGAATCGTATTTTTAGAAAAATTACCTAAATACTCGAACTTAAGCTAATTTTAATATTTTTTTGAATAGGCCAACTTAATTTTAATCCTGGAGATATTAACTGAATTCTATACCTGGGGATATTAACTATATTCTTAACCTGGAGATATTAACTATATTCTTAACCTGAAGATATTAACTATATTCTAAATCTGGAGATATTAACTATATTCTAAACCTGGAGATTTTAACTATTTTCTAAACTTGGAGAAATTAACTATGTATATTCTATAAACCTGGATATGTACATTGTACAATACACCCCAACGACCCCAACATTGCTTTTATTAAAGTTTGAAATTAAGCTTGTCATCGAAGAGGGGGGGGGGGGCGAGTGCAGGCCATGGAGTTTTCCAACTTTTAAATCTGCAACTTAACTTTAAAAGTAAAAAAGCTAAATTATATTCTTCTCTAATTTTAAGATTAACCTAGTTACACCGTATGTGTATGTAGCATCTACTTGAACAGTTGTATTTCAGATAATTTAAAGTGAAAATTGCTTAGAAATAATTATCTGGAAAGAAAAAAAAGTGTGCATATGGAGAAATTTACAGAAACTTATAGGAAAACTAGAAATTAATTATAGATTTTGAATTTTTATGTTTTTATAAATGAAGTATATTTAAATTTTATGATTCAATAACTTGTATTCCTCATTCCTGTATTCGTTGTTTAAACTGAAATTGTTTGAAAATTTTGTTACCCAAGCCATTTCTGTTGATTCCCACGTACCGGCCTGGAATCTGTACCGTACCGGTCTGCTAGCCTATATAAGCTCCGCTCACGCCGGCTTCGTTCTTTCGAAACTAGACCGCAGGGTAGGACAGAGCTCGTACACTTGTAGTAAACCTCAGACACGTTTTAACAAATTCATCATGGCCAAGCCACAATACAAAGTTGGTAAGCAAAGAATAGAAATTTTTCATCATTTCTACGGAATACGGATAAAAAGAAAATTTTCAATATATTATTAGAATGGACTTTGCACGTGTTGCACATCGTTTAGAAAGCCGGCAAATGAAATTTTGAGGCCGGGGGTCTTTAAATAGAAATTTTAATTAGCTCTCTTTAAACATATGAAATTTTAAATTATAATTTATGCTGCTTGATGTGTATTGTTGTGAAATTAATTAGTTTTCTAAAATGAAAATTGGTAATTCCCTAGTTTACGATTTTTGGACCCCCCCAGGCCCCCCCCCCCTCCTATCAATTTTGTACATGGGTGTGACAGGAAGTTTCATAACTTAACCTAACCAGTGGCCGCAGCGCTCGGCCCCCTAGCCCATCCTAGCCGCAGCGCTCGGCCCAGAAAGTATCTTAACCTAACCTAACCCTAAATAACAAAAAAATAATATAAATTTGCTGAAAAATAAATGGTCATGTACAAAATTGATAGGAGGGGGGGGGGGCCTGGGGGGGTCCAAAAATCGTATACTAGGACAGACCCTGAAAAATTAATTTTATGACTATTGGTGTTTTTTACATTGCAGCCCAAACTTATTTTTTTTGACCCTAATTATTTGAATCTTTGCAAGTCATTCACCTTTCCCTTATATTAAAATTTTGTTTTCTCCCCTAGCTGATATCTCCCTGGCTGACTGGGGCCGCAAGGCCATCATGCTCGCCGAGAACGAGATGCCTGGACTCATGCACCAGAGAGCAAAGTACGGGCCTGACAAGCCTTTAAAGGTAAATTATTTATCTCGCTGAGAAGGATTTTCCAATTAGAAATTGAAACCGTATCTGATGGATGATTAAACTAACTTGCACATTAGATGGACATCTGATTTTCTCAAGCCTGCATAACTCCTCATATTTAAGTGCTATATCGATTTGAAATTTTTATTTTTAATTCTTGGAACGAAAAAAACCACGAAAACCCCGTATGTTTATCTCTATTTTGATTGTTCAGGGAGCTCGTATTGCTGGATGTCTTCACATGACCGTTCAGACTGCTGTCCTCATCGAGACCTTGATTGAACTCGGTGCAGAGGTTACATGGTCCTCGTGTAACATCTTCTCAACTCAGGTAACATTTAAAAGTGGTAACATTTAGTTTTAGTCCTCGTGTAACATATTCTCCACATTGGTAACATTTAGTCCTAGTCCTCTTGTAACATAGTCTCCACATTGGTAACGTTTAGTCCTAGCCCTCTTTTAACATATTCTATACATTGGTAACATTTAGTACTAGTCCTCTTGTAACATATTCTACACATTGGTAACGTTTAGTCCTAGTCCTCTTGTAACATATTCTACACATTGGTAACATTTAGTCCTAGTCCTCTTGTAACATATTCTACACATTGGTAACATTTAGTCCTAGTCCTCTTGTAACAGTCTCCACATTGGTAACATTTATGCCTAGTCCTCTTGTAACAGTCTCCACATTGGTAACATTTAGTTTTAGTCCTCTTGTAACATAGTCTCCACATTGGTACATTTAGTCCTAGTCCTCTTGTAACATAGTCTCCACATTGGTAACATTTAGTCCTAGTCCTCTTGTAACATGGTCTCCGCATTGGTAACATTTAGTCCTAGACACAGGAAAGTCAGGAAGTTATTGATCTTAATGGTTATCAAGTAACTTTTTGTGTTGTTACCGAAGAGTGAGTAATTTAGCAATACAGGCCTTGCTTTTTCGGGGATTGTATGGGGGTGGGAGGTTCTGTTTGGCCAGGTTATTGAATGACGAAGTTAAACCTGATTTTCATGTTTTCCTGCGTAGCACAAACAGTAAACAAGAGTTAACTCGACATCTGGTGGCTTGGCTACCTTAAAAAAATGTTTATTTTTATAAATTCACTTCAGCTTTTACAATTTTAAGTTCGAAGACGAGACAAACGTGGGCTATGTAATCAGGCTTTATGATTTTAGTTAATTTTAAGTTTTTGTTAAGATGGGTTTTTTTCTTTAACTTACAAAATTTTAAAACTGATCTGTTGAATTTTGCTTCTATTTAATTTAGCAATATTTTTATTCTTAAAAAAATGGTAATACAATCCAAAAGCGATCGTTTTTGGTTCATTTTTGCGCATATTTTCTTGGGGGGGGGGGGGTTTAATTTCGCGGAGAGTAAAAAAATCAATGTTTAAAATTTGAAATTTGAAAGGCGAATGAACGAACATAGGACAAAATAACCACACAACACTATATTTAAGTTCCCCTGGTTGCTCAAGTTTTTCACATTGTTATTCAATTTTTTAGGATCACGCTGCTGCCGCTATGGCTGCCCGTGGAGTCCCTGTGTACGCCTGGAAGGGAGAGACCGACGAGGAGTATGTTTGGTGTATTGATCAAACCATCATGTTCCCTGACGGTCAACCTCTAAACATGATCCTAGATGATGGAGGAGATCTGACCAACCTGGTTCATGAGAAGTACCCTGAGCTCCTACCAGGGATCAAGGGGTGCTCGGAGGAGACCACAACTGGTGTCCACAACCTTTACAAGATGTTCAAGGCCGGTAAGCTGAAGATGCCCGCCATCAACGTCAACGACTCTGTCACCAAGTCCAAGTTCGACAACCTGTACGGATGCAGGGAGTCTCTTGTTGACGGTATTAAGCGTGCCACCGACGTTATGTTGGCCGGTAAGGTCGCTCTCGTCGCCGGATACGGAGATGTCGGTAAGGGATCCGCCCAGTCCCTCCGTGGGTTCGGATGCAGAGTTATCATCTCTGAGGTTGATCCCATCAACGCCCTTCAGGCCGCCATGGAGGGTTACGAGGTCACAACCGTCGATGACGCCATCGGTAGATGCAATATTGTCGTCACCACCACTGGATGCAAGGATATCCTCGTCGGCAAACACTTTCTCCAGATGAAGAACGACGCCATCGTCTGCAACATCGGTCACTTCGACTGTGAGATCCAGGTTAAGTGGCTGGAGGAGAACGCTAAGTGCAAGACTAACATCAAGCCTCAGGTAGACAGATACACACTCTCCAACGGAAAGAACATCCTGCTCCTTGCAGAAGGAAGACTTGTTAACCTTGGCTGTGCTATGGGACATCCTTCATTTGTGATGTCAAACAGTTTCTCAAACCAGGTTCTTGCTCAGATGGAGCTCTGGTGCAATCCTGGTAAATATGAGGTAAAAATTTAACATTTTGATCATTAAATCAATGTATTTTACCGAAATCTTTGTCTAAATTAGCAATAGGAAATCCTTTCAATATTTGTATGTTTCGAAGCCACTTTTATAGTTCTTAAATCCCAAATGATTTCGAAGTTTTTAATTAAGACATATTCAGATTACTTAATTGTTTTAGTGAAATATGTAACTTAACAGATGTATTATTTAAGGTTGGAGTTTTCATGCTCCCCAAGAGACTGGATGAGGAGGTCGCCTTCTCTCACTTGGCTGCCCTTGACATTAAGCTGACCACCCTTTCAGCTGATCAATCCGAGTACCTCGGTATCCCAGTAGAAGGCCCCTTCAAGCCCGACCACTACAGATACTAGAGCTTTGCCTACTGCGAGCCGCAACATCAGGCTCTACTGTCCACTCTGCGTGTAACCGGAAACTGTTTCGGACCAGGAATAAACTGACTTACCAAACCCAACATCTACCAAATATATTCCTGGTGTGTCACCGTTTCCGCCCATTTTCTATTTTTGTACGATATATAAACTGTGTTTGTGATCTGATATGAACAAATATAAGACAATCTTTTGTAATGTCGTGAACTTAATCCCGGAGAATAATTCAATTAAAAAGGAGAGCTATTAGTTTCTTTTTATCTGTCTGGGGTTGTCTATAAAAACATATTTTAAATATTTTTTGTTTGAACGGAAATTATTTTAATTGCCTGATTCAAACCGGTACGCATGAAACCCTATGTGAACGTTAATTTGGATGATGATTACTATTTTCTAGTCGAACTCGGATAAATCCTTAACATGTTTTCCTGCCGTAGAAATGTGAAATCATTTTTGAGAAAGTACGACACAAATTATCAGTTTTTTAAAATAATAGTTGATATTTAAGACAAGGACGTGAACAGAACTTAATCTATGGGGGCGTCATATACGCGATGCGAAAAAAATTTGTCTTCCCCCCCCCCCTCGAAACTCCTGGGGGTGGCAAAATTTGAACTGTAAGATCAAAACATTTGGGTTCTTGGATATAAAAGTACACAAACAGTCCAATTACCTTGCAAGTACTACTTAATCTCTCATTCAAACAAAGCTAGCAGAAAAAACTGAAAACTAATCTTTTATGTTCCTTCAGTTTCAGATCTGTCCCCCCCCCCCCCTCTAGAATCCAGAGCTATTACACTTATCAAATTTTAAATTGAAGAGTGAGGAACACAGTAAAAATTAGTTTGTTCTTCTGAATTGGGGGCTTTGAATAGAGATTTTCAAATTTTCTTTTACTATCTATAGTATAAATGCTTACTGAACATAAAATAAAATGTAGATTTTTTAAAAACATTTTTCTTCTGTTAGCTTTGTTTGAAGGAGAGATAATGTAGTATAAGCAAGTTAATCGTAATTGCATCTTTAAAGTATCTTATATCTTGTGCCTGATATCCAATAAGCCAAATGTTTTGAATTTACAGTTCAAATTTGGCCTTCCCCTCAGGGGCGGATCAAAGGGAGGACCTAGGCCCACTGGCCCCCCTGGCCCTCCCCCAGTAAATTCATGAATCATGATATGAAATAAAAGCATTAAGGAATGAAAGATACAACAAAAACAGTATTATATAAATGACCTCAACTGAAATACTTTGTCCAAGGTGGTTTAAATGATTATTTATTCTTCTTTGAATTATTTTTATTTTTAAACATTTTAGAAACCTGAGACCCTCTTTATTGTTTTATAAAAAATGGTTTTTGAAAATAGAAAAGTGTTAATTAAGAGTCTGATGCAATTGTTATTATTGTGCTTGGGGAAAAATGAAAATCCCTAATTAAAATATTTCATACAGTAACAACCAGAAAACTATGGAATAGAAAGATGACATCATAGCAATACTCAAGCGTTTTGTTACAAAGCAAATATTTTTACTAGTAACTATTCAAGTGAAAAGGGTCCATTTACAGGGGCGGGGGGACATTCGCCCCCCCCCCCTGAATTTGGAATTTTTTGTTCCTATTTTCAGAATAGCTTATCAATAGCAAGGGAAAGAAACCCTAGTGCAAAACAGGAAAAATATCTGTCTTAATAAACTATAATGTGTGAAAAGTTAAAAATCTAGTTTTTTAGTCTTTAGTCATTAATTTTGACTCTTTTTGAGTCTTTTAAGTCAAAAAAAAATTTCGCCCTCGGCACGATTTTTTGTTCCTAATTATGAAATTTTTGTTCCTTCCACTCCCCTCACTTAAATCCTGTATCCGCCCCTGTCCATTTAACTGTACAATTGCTTTGTCTAATTTACTTAACTAGTTTATGTCCTAACTTGAGTTTAAAAGTCATTTCCTATTTCAGAGTTTTCTGGTTATCACTGTAAAAATTCATTAAACATGAAATATAAAGGATTTATTAAATTGTTAGTAAGCGCTCAAAAAGGAATAGATAACCACTAACATTATTACCTTTGATAAGATGTAAAAAAGTTAATATGATATGACTTTTATTGAACTTTAACAAGTTTAAAGTATCAGAGGTCTGAAAGGTCTCAGTTTAAAGTATCAAAGGTCTGGAAGGTCTCAGTTCAAAGTATCAGAGGTCTGGAAGGTCTCAGTTTAAAGTATCAGAGGTCTGGAAGGACTCAGTTTAAAGTATCAGAGGTCTGGAAGGTCTCAGTTCAAAGTATCAGAGGTCTGGAAGGTCTCAGTTCAAAGTATCAGAGGTCTGGAAGGTCTCAGTTTAAAGTATCAGAGGTCTGGAAGGACTCAGTTTAAAGTATCAGAGGTCTGGAAGGTCTCAGTTCAAAGTATCAGAGGTCTGGAAGGCCTCAGTTTAAAGTATCAGAGGTGTCTGGAAGGTCTCAAAATTGAATATATCGAGTCAAACAATATATTCTGTGGCAAATATTTGATTCTTTCACGTTTTCTTCAACTATCAGAGGTCCTTACTAATTTATGAAGGAGAAAATTGTACCAATTTTGCACATACAGGGTGTCCCACGAAACATGACAGTATGCAGGACGACTTGAATGTCGTCTTGATTTTTGATATAATTTGCTGCGTTTATTTGTCAACCTAATTTTAGAAGTAGATTTCTAGAGATAATAATCACAAAATTTCCCTTGTCCTGCCATTTCCAAAATGTGGTCTGCCTTTTTTGTGCTTTCAATATTGCCCGAGATATGAAGAATTTCGTTCAGATTTCGACAATTTTGCTTTTATTTGACAAAATTGAAATCTGAACCAAACTCTTTATATCTCCGGTAATATTGAAAGCAGAAAAAACGCAGACCACTTTTTGGAAACGGCATGGCTAGGACAATTATGTGATAATTGTTTCAAGAATCATACATGTTAAAGTAGATAGAAGACTGAATGTCACAAATAAATTCAAATACCAAAGACGACTTTCAAGTCGTCTTGCTATTGTCATGTTTCGTGGGACACCCTGTATATTCTTTTAATCAATAAGGGACAGACAAAAATTCTCATCTTTTTTTCTTGTTTAGGGGCGTAGAAAGGGTGTGTCACGCAAAACAGATATTTAAATATATAAATATTTTTTGCCGATACATTATTCAGTGAAATTGATTTTCTAGACGCTCCTTCTGAAAAAAAATGCTGCAGCTGGATCTTTCACCTTTTAAAGACACTTTCCAAAGGATGGTATGGTTTAAAATAATTATAAATATAAATTTTCGTCGTTTTTGTCAAATGAAATCCAATAGAGGGTGTCCAGTGTTATTGGATTTCTTCGCGCCCCTTTCAATAAGAATGTTTCATTTCGAATCTTTCAGCTATTGAAGACACTTCCTAATGGATATGATTATGTTATGGTTTCAAATAATCTAAAATTATTAAATTGTTAAATAAAAATGATTTCCTAGGCGCCCCTTTTGATAAAAATGTTGCATTTTGGATCTTTCAGCTATTGAATACACTTACTACAGGGTGGTATAAATTTTATCATTTTTGTCGTTTTTGTCAAATGAAATCTAAGGTTCAGTGAAAATGAAAATAATTGTTTTTATCCCTTATGGATTAAAAGAATATATATGTGCAAAGTTGGTTTGGCACCATATTTATCTCTATTATTACAAGAGTTATTACAAACTCCAAGAAACTAGTGACTTTAGTGAGGTCCTATGTTTTAAATGTGATTATAAATAATAAAATTGGAAAATTATTGTTTTTTTCATTTTTTAGGGGGAGCCCCCAAAAATTTGGGCAAATAGGCGCCCACCGTAGAAATTAGTTTTATCCACCCCATCAGTCCCCCTAGGACTAGGAGCTCCTAGAGGGGGGATATTCCCCCCCCTAGATTAATTTCTGTACACGCCCTTGATTTCTTTTTCCAAAGGCCAAAGGGCGACTTATCAAATGTGCACCTTCCCAAAAATTAGGTTAGGCCCTCTCTCAGAAATTCAAAACATTTTTGTTTTTATACAGTGAATCCCAGATATATGAATACATAGACGTGCCGTCAAAAGTTTTTTGATAATTCAAAAGAAACTTCTTTTTGTTTTTAATTCAAGGGTAAATTAATAGCCCTGAAATATGAATGCAATTGATATAAATATTAATATTAAACTCATTTTTCCGCGGCATTTGATCTTAAATATGTAATACGACATTATAAAAAAAAATCTTGCTATATATTCATTTATCTGGGGGATTCACTGTAGAAAAAACTACCCAAAATTGTTATTCTCATATTTTCAAGCTATAAGTGTATCAAAGAAAAGAAAATACTTAAAGCCCTTAATTGTCGTCTTCCACATAAATTTAAAAGTCGTCTTCTACTATTTTTCATTTAGATAAATTCGAGGCTGGTACAGAAACCATATGGTTTGTCAGGGGTTTATACACTCTCTTATATAAACCTGACGAACTCAAAATGACAATTTCTTATTATTGTTTTTTTTACAATTATTCGATTTTTCGGGGAAAATACATTTTTATCTTTCCCCCCTGGCTGGAGGCTGCATCATGTGAGACCACTGTCTATGCGTGAAACTTAGGACTAAAAACATCAAGGTTAGAATTTTAAATAGAATTACCTATTTCCTGTTTTAAAGCGTCATCTTTTCATAATTCACAATTCACATGGACATTTGAACATGTGTTCTAATTATTATAAGATATACTTCCAATAAGTTAAGATGCATTAATTAGGCATAAATTAAAATATTGAACGAAAATAACAATTAAATGTTTTTATTTGTTATTTTTTTACTGTGTTGTAATAGGCCTTATATTATTTTTATCATAGTCCTGTAGAAGAGCAGGATGGCCGGCATGTTCTTCAAACTCAAGGACTCCATCGCGGCAAAGGTAAGTTTTATGGTCGATGGTTTATTAATTCAATATATTCGATATATTGAATATATTCAATAAATTCAGTGTATTCAATATATTGAAATTATTGAATATATTGAAGATATTCCAAGTAAAGAAACAATATCACGGTAGAACTAGATCACTATCTACAAACTCCATCAAATCTCAAATGCAATCACCTTTTAGAATTGTATTCTATACATATTTTTTAAATTTATTATTATTGCAAAGTATAACTGAGTTTCTGGCACAAACTCAAATTTTCTTATCCCTATATCTTCGCAACCTGATGGTGTCAACCTTTAACATTTCAAACTTAGATTATTTGGTCTAACAGTAATCAAATTTTTGTGAAGCCCCTGAAAAGTAAAAACAATTATTGTGTTAAAACTAACCATAAAACAATACTTTTACAATACGCACAATAGTTTTAGTAGATGTAAAATTTCCATTTACTGATAGCGCCGATTGAAGGATTCATAACTCTGATTGGATAATGAGATAGATAGAAAGATAGATGTTACCGCTATACTATTTCTATTGGTTCAGAATAGACAACAAACACATTACTGAACCCTGATTGGATCAGGCGCTAATGGACTTGGCATACTTGGGAGTGTACGTTACTGTCTAAGAATAACAAGACAAGAATAAAAAATATTTTAAAAAACTGCGCACAAAATCTAAAATGTACATGGAATTCTAATGACGGTTTTTAAAGGTTACCCCTGAATGCTTGAAGGCATCGGCGGAAGAAGTAAAAGTATTTGCCGAGAAGAACATACCAAAAGGTGGAGATCCCCATGCCGAAGGCGGAGGCAAGATTACAGAGTGGGAAGCAGCATGGAATGTTACAAATGCTATCCAGGTAGAATCACAGAACTTTTAAATTTAAAATTAAATATTGATTGGTATTTTCAAAAATTGAAATTTGGAATCAAGTTTTTTCCACAAACTCTGATTTTTTAATCCCATCTTTACAACACAATTTTTTAGACCTTTGATTTTTCAAAGTATAAACTCTGGTTTAGATCAAAAAGTCTAAACATGAAATATATCTATTGTTTACACCAGCAGGTTGCAAAGACTTAGAGAATCGAAAATTTATGTTTGTGACAAAAACTCAATTTCTTAGTTTGTATCCATAATGCAAGAAAGGTGAGGTCCTGGTTTTGTTGGAAGAGAGTAGATAGAGAAGCTTGGGGTTGGAGGAGGTGGGTTGGGCAAGGATGAGTTGAAAGGGAGTAGGGTGCAAGGAGGGGTTGGAAGGGTGTATGTAGAATGGATAAGGTTGGGTTGGAAAGGAGAAGGGTAGAGAATGTCGAGTTGGAAAGGAGTGGGGTGAATAAAAATGGGTTAGGAGGGAGTAGGATGAAGAAGGTTGGGTTAGAAGGGAGTATGATGGAGGAAGTTTGGTAAGAAGGGAGTAGGATGGAGGAAGTTCAAAATTTGGGTAAAAAAGGGAGTAGGATGGAGAAGGATGTGTTGAAAGGGAGTAGGATGGAGAATTGAAGGTGGGAAGCAAGAAGAAGGGTGGAAAAAGACGGGTTGGGTTGGAAGGGAGTAAAATGGATACTGTGGATTGGAAGGAAGTATAGGATAGAAAAGAATGAGTTTGAAGGGAGTAAAATAAAAAAGTTCAAGGTGGAGGGGGTAAAATGGAGAAAGTTGGGTCGGAAAAAGGTATGGGTGGAAGAGAGTATGGATGGGTTGGAAGGGAGTAGGATGAAAATAGGAGAAAGAAGAACGAAGAAGGTTGGGTTGGAATTGGGAGTAGGATGAAGAATATAAGGAAATAGGATGAAGAAGGTTGGGTTAGAAGGAAGTAGGATGGAGAAGGTTGGGTTTGAAGGAAATAGGAAGAAGTAGGTTGGGTTGGATGGAAGTAGGATGAAGAAGGTTTGGACGGAAGGAAGTAGTATGAAGAAGGTTTTGATGGAAGGAAGTAGGATGAAGAAGGTTGGGATGGAAGGAAGTAGGATGAAGAAGTTGGGTTAGAACTTGGAAGGGAGTACGGTGAAGAAGGTTCGGTTGGAAGGAAGTAGGATGAAGAAGGTTGGGACGGAAGGAAGTAGGGTGGAGAATGTTGGGTTGGAGGGAAGTAGGATGAATAAGGTTGGGTTGGAACATGGAAGGGAGTAAGGTGGAGAAGGTTGGGTTGGAAGGAAGTAGGATGAATAAGGTTGGGTTGGAACTTGGAAGGGAGTAGGGTGGAGAAGGTTGGGTTGAAAGGAAGAATAATTATAGATTAAGGATTAGGAAGGAATAGTTTGCTTAATAAAAGAGAAAATATTCTAATATAACATTATTATCTGTAATAAACTCCATTAATCTATTAAACTTCTTAAAGGGACTGTTTACAATTAATGAGATATAATATGTGCTTGCTGTGCAAGCATTGGCTACATGTTCTTATTTCGCTTAAATACTCACAATTAAACCAAATTTATTGTTTTAACTTTTCTTGAAAATCGTGATCTGCCCCTTTATTAACATTCCTTTTTTTCCTATTACAAGGCCTAATGGAGACCTTCACATTCCTTCCTTTCAACTCTTCCTGGCATTCTAGCTAATATTTCCTCCAATCAACATTTTATTAACATCAAGCAGGAATATTAAGCAGAATTCTTCGCGTGTAAAATATGAGGCCATTGGATTTATTGCGCATTTTCTCAGAAATTTCGTATTAATGAAATATTTTCAAAAATATTAAATTTCAGGGTATGTTCATAGTATCCCTGCCTTATGCAGTGTACCATGGTGGGTACTGGGCTATCCTGGCTATGGTGGGCATTGCATACATCTGCTGCTACACCGGTAAGATCCTGGTGGACTGCCTCTACGAGACCGACGAGTTCGGGGAGACGAAGAAAGTCCGCTACAGCTATAACGATATTGCACAGGAAGTGTTTGGGAAAAGATTTGGCGGGAAAATTATCAATGCCGCGCAGCTTATTGAACTACTAATGACGTGCATTCTCTATATTGTTTTGTGCGGAGATCTTCTCATTGGAGCATTTCCCTACGGACAGATTGATACAAGGTCGTATATGATGATTTGCGGGTTGCTTTTGCTCCCGTGCGCATTTTTGAAGAACCTGCAGCACGTGTCCAAGTTGAGTTTCTGGAACGGGGTTGTTCACACACTCATTAATGTTCTCATTCTTGGCTACTGCATTCTCCGAGCTCAGGACTGGGCATTCTCTAAGGTTACTCTCAAGGTGGATATCCTCTCCTTCCCTATAGCCCTGGGCATCATTGTGTTCAGCTACACTAGCCAGATCTTCCTGCCAACCCTGGAGGAGAATATGATCGATAAATCAAAGTTTCACTGCATGTTGCACTGGAGTCACATTGCAGCCGCCATTTTCAAAGCACTGTTTGGATACCTAGGCTTCTTAACCTGGCAGGAAGACACTCAAGAGGTCATTGTCAACAATATTGATGGGTTCTTTAAGCTTCTTGTCAACATGATCTTGGTGATCAAGGCTCTCTTGTCCTATCCTCTGCCCTTCTACGCTGCCTGTGATCTCATCGAGGGTGAGATGTTTCGTGGGAAGCCTGACACCATGTTCCCATCTATCTGGGGCCTGGACGGAAACCTGAAGATCTGGGGCCTAGCCTTCAGAGTTGGAATCATTGTTGGCACCATCGGGTTCGCAGTCATCATCCCACACTTCTCTATTCTCATGGGGTTCATCGGTAATTTCACTGGATGCTTGCTCTCCTTTGTCTGGCCTTGCATCTTCCATCTCTATATCAGGCGGAAGTCGATGTCTTGGTACACGATGCTCTGGGATATCTTTATCATCTTACTTGGATGTATGTTTGCGTTGGTCGGAATGTATTACTCCGGCAAGGCCCTGTTTAAAGCTTATGAGCTAGGAATGCCAGTCTAATCTATATTCTTGATTAGCATCATGTTGAACCTATAGTTCCTGAAGAGAATTTCGGGTTCCAGTATCATAATTTCATTTACAATTGCAAGGCTTTCAAGTTCATAGAAAAAAATATTGCTAACTGGCTTCGAAACTAAATGTAATCTAACATTATAACTAAGTCTTCCAAAACTAAGTATGTTACAAGTAACCAAGTCTTCCACATGTAATTTGTAACCTTTTAATTGTAATTAAGTCTTCCAAATGTAATTATTTCCTAATAATTGTAATTATGTCTTCCACGTGTAATGTAACCACGGTTGTTGTATTAGATGTATTTTTCAAATTAATTGCTATTTCTGATAATTGTTTAAATTCTGAAATATCTAAAATAACTGAACTGACAGAAGTATCGTTTCAAGAATTGCCCGAAATCGGAACTTTTGTTTTAAGTATCGTTTACCTCGAACGCTTGATTTCGATATCCAATGTGGCTACTTCTGAATTTTAAGATAAATTAGATCCGTAATTTGAAGTTATCCCTGCAGGGTATGACCGCAACGAGATTTCGAAGAGAAATAAGATTGATCTGTATATATACCCTTACATAGATAAATTGAAATAACAGATGTCGTCTTTTCAAGATTTGGATGAAATTCGTTCACAATAACCCTGAGGCAGATGCCCAGAGGATTTTCGCGCAGTCAGCGTAGAATTTCAAGACAGAGATAGTCTTTTCTACGCCGACTGTACGAAACTTCTCTGGGCTTCTACCTTCGGGTTATTTATTGTGGAGGAGTTTCATTCAAATCTTGAAAAGACGACATCTAGTGTCCAATCTGTTATTTTATTAAATCTATGTACCTATAGGTCTGCATAAGATGAGGATCTTTGATAAATGCTTGATCCCAAGATTCACAATAGTTCTAACTTCAGTTGAGATCTATTAAAGTATAGAATAATTAAAAATTACGAATATTGAGAAAATCTAAAATTTTCGTTAAGATAAAATTAACTCATTGAACCAAAATTTTATTCTCCAGAAGTTTACCTTTAGATGTTTCCTGGAGTAAATGTAAAGTTTTCTAGTAAATTATCTTGTTTTAGTTTCTAAGAAATTAAATGTTAGTTTATAAATTATAAAAATGTTTGATGAAACCTTCATCTCTGTATTTGGTTGTGACATTAATGAAATCTGAGCATCATAGATAGTGTATACTTAAAAACTCAACAATGCTTCTTTTAACAAAAAAGCTTGAAATAAATAGGCATGAAAATGTGTAGATCATTTTATGAAATTTGTTTACCGCAATTCTAAAAATTGTCTAAAGCCCATAATTTGAAAAATAACCACCGACACTATTGTGTGATTTAACAAGTCTTCCAACTTTTTTATAAATAATGTAATTGTTTGTATCTTTACTAATTATTAAATACCCCATATCATTGTTAAGCAGTAAATTTTACATTTATCTTAAATAAATGTTTTTTTTTTCTGATAATTTGTTTTTTCCTCAGACAGTAATTCAAATTTATGAATCAGAGAATTCGTAGAACTAGGATTAATTGCTAACGATACTTTCCAGCGTTCCCATTGGCTGAAACGAATTATTCTAAGGAATTGAGTTTTTGCCACAATCCAAATCTTTGGAACCTGATGGTGTAAACATATGAAATTATTTCAAACTCTGATTATTTAATCGAAGTTTTGTTTGAAATATACAAGGACTGCGACATTTGGTTACAAAGAGATATGGATTAAAACTCAGAGTTTATGACAAAGACTCAATTCCTTTCCTGACCTATTATTGGGCCTTGAAATATTGTTTTTTGTATTTTTTTTAGTCTGTAACTTCTGACGATTTAGTAGAAATTTTAATCAACATTAAGATAATTTTCTTTAACGGATATTTTTGTGATTCCTAACAAGGGATAATCAAAGAAACATGATTTTAATTGTACCATAAATATTGATATTAGGTACTTTCCCAAGCGGACACTTCCCAAGGATATTTGCCCTATAGAAACTTCCCAAATGTGTAATTTCCCAAGCGGCAACTTCCCAAGTCTGTTCTAGCTGCAGTGCTCGCCCCAATAGCCTATTTTTTAATGATTTTTAAGATTTTAGAGTTTCTAAGTTATTTTCAAACCAATCATATTATATTTATCAATTTTTATCGCTATTTGATAGGTTTGGAAACTTATTTTAAAAAACCTAATTTTGCTTTATTATGCATTATATAAAACTTAGGCTGGTGCATGGAATACAGTTTCATTAATTAAATAAAGTAACCCTACCCATTTTACATATTGTCACCTGAATTTTACTATTTTTGGTTTCATTACGAAAATTACAAAGTTAAAACATTTGGAAATAAAAGCTTTGATTTTAAACTGTTAGTATTAAAAAATGTCAATCTCTCGTAATCAAAAACAGATACAATTAATACTTTATTCAAATAAAAAAAAAGTTTTTGGCAAGCTTATGTAATAAACAAAAATACATGTTTACGAGGCTTTATATTAAATCATGATTTTACAGAGGAACAAACAAAATACAATAATATTTTTTTCAGTGATAAACAAATAAGTCTTTTAATAGCACCCTTATAATTAATAGTTGGCAAACTAAATTAGTTTAATCTTTTACACTTGTTGGACAAAAGACATAGATTATTAACACAAAAAAGAAAATAGAAAATTCATATTTCTGTAACTGCAACTGTCTTAAAAACTAAAAAAATATTAAAAATAAAATCTTAAATCTTTTAATGAACAAGATATGAGGTAACTGTCAAGCGCATTTTGATTATTTCACAAATATGAAAAATAAAAAGTGGAAACAATTGTAAAAAGCTGAAATATTCGAACCTTAAAGCTGAAAGAGGTAGAAACAAAATGTGAAAATTGTTTTTAAAATGTTGGGAGCACTATTTTTTCTGACTAGGGAACTGTTTTTATCCGCTAAAATTCCAATACTTGTTAATATAACCAAGTTTCGGAGTTGCAACATCCAAATATACAATGTACAATTTATAGTTTACTGCAAATAGCACATACTTATCTAATCAAATTGTTTGATATTATGGTTAAAAGTAAAGCAACAAAATGATCAATAAGAACATAATTCTAATGCGTTGTATAAATGTAAAGCTTAAATTTTTCAAAATAAATCCAATTGGGATAATATTTGAACGATAACAAATATATTGACAAATCTCAGGAAGACGACATTTCCCTGAAAAATGGGTTTAACGATTTTTTTGAGTAGGGCCAATAGTATTAGGGTTTCCAACGCAAGTGGTTCCTGTAATTTCCTCGCAATTCCACCCAATTCCGCACAATACGACAACAGTTGCGCGCAATTCCGCACAGTTGCGCGCAACTACGCGCAGCGGAATTCCGATAAGAACCCGTAGCCAGTATTCTAGATGCTGGAGACCTCCAACAGACGGAGAAGGTTAAACATTACTTGTTGATGATTCGGATCAGCACTCCCAGACCCGGACTGAGACGAAGTTATCGAACCTGACGAGGACGAAGAATTCCTTCTCCGAACTTCTCCGAACCTTGAACTCCAGGTCTCATCCTCTAAGTTGAACAGATTTCTGTTTAAGGACGGAGATACCGCCTGCTGAGTGTACAGGGACGCAGGAGAGTAGGACGCAGGACTGGGGTGTTGAGAGTAGGACGGTGGACTTGGTAGTTGAGATGGAGAAGAAGGTTCACGCCAAACAGAGGACAGGTTGTTATAGGACACACGCCTGGCTGGTTGGTTCAAGGACATAGAGCTCTCATGGAAGTTGTTTCCTCTCTGGTTCTGGTAGGAGTAGGACTGGAGATTAGTTCTCTGGGAGTGAGAAGTATTCTGCTCTAGAGGGAAGCGGGAGTTGGTCGCAGGAAGGTTATTGAAGCGGGAGGGTTGGTTGGCGTTGGAGTATGAAGAGTATGAAGCGTCGGTGGAGTAGTAGGAGGAGGAGGAGGAGTTAGAGTAGAAGGAATAGGAACTTGAGTTTGAGTATGTTGGGGAATGGTTTGAGGATGCAGCTGAGTATGAGGATAAGGATGGGGATGAAGGGGTTTTGGTTGAGGCTGAGTTCCCTTGTTTAAGATTTAGCCATATCCATGAGAGCTCTTCTTGCTTGCGAAGCTTCTAAAAAAAAAAAAAAATTTTATCGCACATAAAAAAATGAGATGGAGACACCTCAGGTCGAAACTATTATAAATAGCAATAAACAATGACGACGTCTGAGCTCTTTATCCAACCTAAAAACTAAAAGAATTGATTGCAGTTGGCCACTTTATAATCCCTATATCATTGCAACCTGGTGCTATATTCCTTTAACATTTAATCAAATTAAATCAAGAAGCTAGGCCGTCCAGTTGCTCCCTAGCTTGACAGGGGTACGCCATCACGATCATTCCCAAGTAACCAAACCCAGGGGTTTTAAGTCTGACGCGGGCATAGCCTTTTGCCGTACTTCATAGTTTGATATATCTAAGGTATATAAACATTGGGCATCAAATTTAAGGATTAGAAAATCAAATTTAGTGGCGAAAAGACTTTTTTCCTTGGAGGCGATTAAAAAAAAGTCTATCAACATTTTTGCGATCGCTCAATGGCCGATTAAAAGCAAATCGTTTGCCTTCTGTTTAATTGTACCTTTTGAGATATACAAAACAACTTAACTGAAGAATCCATAGAGGATAAGTATTAGGACTAATGAAGGGATTATTAATACATTACTTCCGACCTCCCAGCTAATAAAATTTTAAAAAAAACTAGCATCCTACCTCTTCATTGTACGGACAGTAGTTGATCGTGTGAGCCTGAAAGTAAATGATGTTAAATAATTATTTAAAATGATTAATGTTAAATTGAACAATTATGAGGTGTGGGGGGTGGGGTGGAATAGTAGGGTATATTGTTGAAAAATTCAGATGTTCTTTTTCTTCAAATTAAATTTTTTTACAACTATTTTGAATACAGTCATGGAATATAAGGGGTGGAGTTAAGTTAAAAGAAAGGCGATGGTGTGGGGGGAGTAAGCTATATGAAGGAGGGGGGAGTAAGCTATATAAAGGAGGGAGTAGGCTATAAGAAGGGGGGGGAATAAGCTATATGAAGAGGGGGGGGGGTTACCTCATAACCAGTGTTTTTGCAAATAGGGCAGACGTAGTTGAAGAGAAATTGTCCTAAAATAAAATAAAAATTTGAAATTTGTAAAAAGAAAAAAAAATCTTTTTTTTAATTCTGCTCAAGCACATTTTCTGGAATTGAAACTATTTCATCTAATATTTTTTTTATTAATTGTAAAAGATTTCTGAAGAATAAACATAAAAATCTATTTTTAAAAATTCAATTCCTTTAAAAAATTATAAAAATATCAGGTTTATTATGACAGTCCAATATTAGAAAATAACTTTTCTCAATGCAAAATTAGTCGGAATTTTTTCTTGATAAAATCTGTAAATACAAACCTATTGTTTAAATCTTTTAAAACATGATTATTGTAGAGTGATTCATCCCAACCGTTATTCTACAACAAAATAATGATTAATAATTAAAAAATTTTCTCCAAAATGTTTGGCCCAAAAAATGTGTTAATGCATTTAAAAAAAGAACACAATAGAAAAAATTCATACCAAAACATGAAAAAAATATTACAAATAAATTGGGTTTTTTTTCACAAACTTAAGTTTTTGATCCATATATCTTTTCAAACTTAATTTATTTCATGGAACAGAATTCATTGTTTGAAATATCTAAGGTCTATGACATAAGGTTTCAAATATAAAGAGATTGAAAATGAAAGTTGGTGGCAAAAACTCATTTTCTATTGATTTAAAAAATAGCATAATCTTAACGCTAAATTACCTTGCAAAAAACACAGTGCGTTGGAAGCTTCTTATTTTTTCCTCCCTTTTTTGAACTCATGGCAAGGCTCTCCTTTAGAGATGAGTTGTTAGGAAGGGCAGAGAACCTAAAAAAAACAAAACAATTGCAATGTGATCCGAAAGTTACAAGCTCGTACGCAAAATCTTCAGGATTTTGAAAATTATTCATTTTAAACTAAAGATTTAAAGTTGTAAGAAGTAATTGTCTAGGGCTACAGAAAAGTCAAAGGCCAAGGCGTTGCGACCCAGTATCACGGGCAGCCGTAGTACATTTGAATTTCCGAGCCGGGTCAACCTTTCCGGTGCCAGTTTGTACTGTATCGACTATCGCCCGGACAAATTGGGTAAATAGAGCAGACACTCAATAGGACTAGCCGGTGCAACAAGGTTGACGTGGTCAGACTTTAGGTTGAATTTACTATTACTAAAGGGTCAGAGGTGCATGGTCTTTCAAGTTAGTGCAACTTTTTATAGCATTTAGTATCTGTGTGACTAATATTTGAAGGTTTAAAAAATATTTTTAAACCTACCTGCTCTGAACTGGGGTGGCGCGATCCCAGTCAATAAACTCTAAAACAAAAGCAAAATTAAATGTTGTCTTTTTATATTAACATTAAAAATTTTATAAAAAAAGATTTTGTGGATTTTCAAATTTAATGAAATTCGAATATTGCTGGAGGTTAATTTTTGAAATTTTGATCCTCCATAAACCTTCCCTAGAGCCATTTGAAGTCCCAAAAAAAATGTGGGCCCGATCGGTGTGTCGTTTTGACGCTTATTGGATACAAACAAACAGACAAGAAAAGTATATATATAGATAAAGATTTATATCTAAAGGGGTAATCTCTATACAATATAAGAAGGATGGATGGATGTATATAAGTAATCATGAAGAAAGAGAGAAGATGTATACGAGTAATCATGAAGAAGGAGGGATGTATGTATTGTATATGAGTAATCATGAAGAAAGAGGGATGGATGTATATGAGTAATCATAAAGAAGGAGGGATGGATGTATATGAGTAATCATGAAGAAGGAGGGATGGGTGTATTGTACATGACTCATGAGTAATCATGAAGAGGGAGGGATGGATGTATTGTATACGAGTAATCATGAAGAAGGAGGGATGTATGTTTTGTATATGAGTAATCATGAAGGAGGGATTGGATGTATTGTATATGAGTAATCATGAAGAAGAAGGGAGGGGATGTATATGAGTAATCAGGAAGAAGGAGGGATGGATGTATATGAGTAATCATGAAGAAGGAGGGATGGATGTATTGTATATGAGTAATCATGAAGAAGAAGGGAGGGATGTATATGAGTAATTATGAAGAAGGAGGGATGGATGTATATGAGTAATCATGAAGGAGGGATGGATGTATTGTATATGAGTAATCATGAAGAAGAAGAAGGGATGGATGTTTATGAGTAATCATGAATAAGAAGGGAGGGATGTATATGAGTAATCATGAAGATGGAGGGATGGGTGTATTTTACATAAGTAGTCATGAAGAAGGAGGGATGGGTGTATTGTATATGAGTAATAATGAAGAGGGAGGGATGTATGTATTGTATATGAGTAATCATGAAGAAGGAGGGATGGATGTATTGTATATGAGTAATCATGAAGAGGGAGGGATGGATGTATTGTATATAAGTAATCGAGAAGAAGAAGGGAGGGATGCATATGAGTAACCATGAAGAAGGAGGGAGGAATGTTTGTAAATATTGAAAACTTAAGATTAGTATTTATGCGTTGTTTTGTCTGGAATTGAACTCAACTATAAACCTTCTTATAGATTAAACCCTTTAGATATATAACTTTACATATTATATCTATACTTAGTACCTTCAGTTGTAAACCTTTAGATATTATATATACTTAGTACCTTCAGTTATAAACCTTTAGATATGATATATATATACTTAGTACCTTCAGTTATAAACCTTTAGATATGATATATATATACTTAGTACCTTCAGTTATAAACCTTTAGATATAATATATATATACTTAGTACCTTCAGTTATAAACCTTTAGATATTATATATATATACTTAGTACCTTCAGTTATAAACCTTTTGATATTATATCTATACTTAGTACCTTCAGTTACAAAGATATTATATATAGATTTACTCCCTTAAAATATAAACCTTTAGATATTATTTATAGATTCAGCGCCTTTATATATAAACCTTTATCATGATTACTCATAGACATCCATCCCTCCCTCTTCATCATTATTCATATACAGGGTTTCCACAAAGGATGAGACTGTAAAGTAAAGACGACCTAAATCTCTTTGATTTTTACAATTTTTAAATTAAGTCTTCTCTCTTGAATATAATCTTTTTATGTCTTATTCCATAATTAGAAATTTACAATTGCAGGGAATCATTAATATACGGAAATAGAGAGTAAAAATTCTCATCCTTTATGGGTAAACCTGTATATCTATCCCTCATTTTCATCATCTCCCGTGCATACATTTCTCTTCTATAGTGAAATATAAAGCTTTATGCCGCCGTGGTTCAGCGTTCAAACGAGAACTTTAATTACTGGAAAATTTAATTGATGCTAGGCAGTTTTAGGATCTTAGATACTAAACAATAATACACCACCCCCCCGCACACACACCTTAAATAATTTAATATAAGAGAGTTGAGTTAAAATCTTAAAATATTGTAAATGTGTAGTGAGGGGCAGGGGAAGGGAAAGGGGGATTTTACTAAGAGATATCTAGTGTGTACGCTGTATTATTGGAAACTCTATAAGAGATATCTAGTGTGTACGCTGTTATATTGGAGACTCTCTAAGAGATAACTAGTTTGTACGCTGTATTAGTGGAAACTCTATATGAGATATCTAATGTGTACGCTGTATTATTGGAAATTTTCTAAGAGATATCTAGTGTGTATGCTGTATTATTGGAAACTCTATAAGAGATATCTAGTGTGTACGCTGTATTATTGGAAACTCTATGAGAGATATCTAGTTTGTACGCTGTATTATTGGAAACTCTATGAGAGATATCTAGTTTGTACGCTGTATTATTGGAAACTCTATAAGAGATATCTAGTTTGTACGCTGTATTATTGGAAACTCTCTAAGAGATATCTATTGTGTACGCTGTATTATTGGAGAGAATGAGATAGTGTGTACGCTGTATTATTGGAGAGAATGAGATAGTGTGTACGCTGTATTATTGGAAACTCTCTCAGAAATATCTAGTGGAGACTCTAAAATAGATCTGTACGCTATGTCTGGTATTAGAACGGTATCGTAAATACATATCTACAAATAGGAGCTTAGAGGTTCTAGTTTCAGATTATAGGCCAGAAGGGAGGGATGTATATGAGTAATCATGAAGAAGGAGGGATGGATGTATATGAGTAATCATGACGAAGAAGGGAGGGGATGTATATGAGTAATCAGGAAGAAGGGGGAGTGGATGTATATGAGTAATCATGAAGAAGGAGGGATGGATGTATTGTATATGAGTAATCATGAAGAAGAAGAAGGGATGGATGTTTATGAGTAATCATGAATAAGAAGGGAGGGATGTATAAATCACGCCAAACTAAAGTAAATTAAAACTTTATTTTTTATCTTGAAATCTTTTATTCTTAATTTTTATCTTGAAATCTTTTATTTTTATTTTTATATTGAACCGGATTTATGGACTCAGAAAGTACAGAAAGATATAAAGAAAGGATGTAAGGACTCAGAAAGATAAAAAAGAAAGAATGTAAGGACTCGGAAAGCTAAAAAGAAAGGATGCAAGGACTCAGAAAGATAAAAAGAAAGAATACAAGGACTCGGAAAGATAAAAAGAAAGGATTTAAGGACTCAGAAAGATAAAAAGAAAAGAGGTTAGGACTAAGAAAAATAAAAAGAAAGGATGTAAGGACTCAGAAAGATAAAAAGAAAAGAGGTTATGTAAGGACTCAGAAAGATAAAAAGAAAAGAGGTTAGGACTAAGAAAGATAAAAAGAAAAGAGGTTAGGACTCAGAAAGATAAAAAGAAATAATACAAGGACTCGGAAAGATAAAAAGAAAGGATGCAAGCACTCAGAAAGATAAAAAGAAAAGAGGTTAGGACTAAGAAAAATAAAAAGAAAGGATGTAAGGACTCAGAAAGATAAAAAGATAGGATGTAAGGACTCAGAAAGATAAAAAGAAAGGAAGTAAAGACTCAGAAAGATAAAAAGAAAAGAGGTTAAGCCTCAGAAAGATAAAAAGAAAGGTTGTAAGGACTCAGAAAGGGATTGAAGAATCCAGGGCTGAGAAGAGAGGAAAGAGAAGATTAAAATGAAGAATGAAGTCAAGATTGAAGGATGAAGTTTTTTGGCTGAAGGGATTAGTATCTAAGTACTATATTGGTTTATCTCATGTGGTTTCAATTCGTGAATTTTTCTGTTCTTCTGACAGCTCCTAGTCGACAGGCATCAAGATTTAGATTAGTAATATTTATAAATGCATTAATTCATTTCACACATTTTGCCAGCATTTAACTCAGAACACAGGAGGAGAAGATAAAACAGGGGTTTATTATTCATTCTTAAAACAAAAAATATAATTATTAATTTTTGAAACTTTTTTTTAAATGTGTAAAAGAAAATTGTAGACTAAACTTAAAGTAATCCTTAATTTGACATTACTAAAAAAAAACTTAATTTGATTCTAATTTTCTGCAATAAAAATATATTAATTCTTTCATCCCCCCCCCTCTCTTTAACCCCTGATATTTAAAAGCCCCTTTTTAAAGGTTCAGCATCGCATTTGATATTATACAGATTAGATTAGTAGTGGAAGAAGTGTCTTCACATATATATCTATATATTTATTATACAATAACTAGGCTTTCAGGGCGCTTCCCACCTATTTTACCATTAACAATCAGAGCAATTACATGTTGCTATATTTAAAACTGATATTTTTCTAAGGTTTCTGTGTTTTTGTTGGTAAAGGTTTCTTTTTTACTTTAAAAGGTCCGCACGAATCTGAAATTTTCATCCTGATTAAAAATTCACATACTCGATAAGTTTGCTTTTATAAAATCAATCAGAATTTTTACTCCAACACGACTTTGAAAAGCCATTGATACTCGTTTTGGTTGAAAATTAAAAATCAGAAAATCGGATTTTAACCTCATAAATGTTTAAAGACCTAAAAAATATGCTATCAATAAAAGCAATATATGTATCTAGTATATACCAGATATAAGGACATACCAGACAGATATACCAGATTTAAAACCAGATCTGAACATATATATATATATATATATATATATATATATATATATGTAAACAGTATATATATATACAGATGGACCACGACAAAAACTTAAAAAAATTGTGTCAATAATTGTCCGAGACAACAGTTTTTTTCAGATTATAAAAAACAAAGATCCGATAACCTGCAAGTTGGTGAGTAACATCTTTTTCATTCATTTAACAAAACACATAATTTCAAAGCACAATCAATCCTAAGGAGAACTTTTAATAACGTAATAAAACTTTTCAAATGTAAAAAATGTTGAGGTGCTTCTCAAATTAT